TTTTTCTCACCTCGAATCTAACTCGTTCAGTTGTAAAAACCGCAGAGAGATCGGTGCCCCTGTACAATTCCTCGAGGGTGATCGGCTCAAACGAGGATTTTCCAGCTGGAGATCCGGCCAGATAGCTGGGAGTTTTACCGGGGCCCGCGAGGCTCCGGGCTCCCCTTTTATCTCGCACGAAAATAATCTTCAGGAAACCTCGGGAGTCGGGAGTCGCGCGAGAAACGAACGACCGAACCGGACGAGTTGCTCGTCGTTAGAGCTAACAAGCTACCTGGTAGCCGATACCGGCAGAACAAACAACGGCCATCGGCTAATTGTACGATTCCAATTCTGATAGGTGTTATGGCAGTCGGGCTGCGCCGGCTGACAAAGCCCGGTGCGTGGGAATTCACGGGAAATCGAGAAACCGAGTTCTTTCTTTTGGAGAATTTCGACCGACAATTTTACGTCTTGACAACACTGTGACCTTTTTTTTCACGGCAATCAACACTTCTTCCTGCCGAACGACTTCTCTGATAGAACGAGACAATTTTGATTTCATCCGTGTCTTTATTTAGTTTCAATCCTAGACTTTGATAACAGAAGAATCAATTTTCTATTTCGATTTAGATGAAACGAATGACATTCATAATTAGTAGATGATGTATTAAATCCTCATCTTTCGAGCGTGACACGTTGTTATAGTTCACGGGGTTAAAGAGAAGCTTCTGTTGTATTGTCTCCGACTGTCGTTAGACAATGTAACCATAATTGAGGGAGTAACTCGTTTTCAAAGGAAAACGGACTTACACTGATGGGCTTCCGAACCGTTCATGCATCGCTATACTATTACAGTAATGTCTCTCCAACTGACGCTCAGATTGTCCACAAAAGTGGACAATTTGGAAAGAGAAGATGCAATTATTCGAGCCTTGCGGTTGTTTTCATAGTTACGAATTGTCAAGAAATATAAAAACGAGCTGCAAGGCTCGAATAATCGTATCTCCCCTTTCCAAATTGTCCATTTTGGTGCGCAATCTGGGCGTCAGGGAGACATTACTGTATCGTCAAATTACGTAAAGGGCCCGTTGATAAATAAATAATAGATAACAATGTTGAAACGATGGTCTCTTATCGAGATCGAATTGTACTCCGTGGATTCAGAGCATCGAGAAAGCGGCGAGCAAGATCAGTGGCGGGAGGAGCCGCGCGAAAGGCGCGGACTAATCGAAAGACGTCGTTAATTAGTCGAGGGCCGCGCAGCGCACCTGTAACGACGGAAACGGACAAAACTGCCGGTGGCTCGGTTTATCGATCGAGCGTGTAGCCTCCCGAAGATAATGCGGCATTAACCCGAACGGATGATGCGCGATCCTTTGGCTCTCGTAGTTAGGCCTAACAAGCGGGAGTCGGTTGCCTAGGCGATATCATCTGATTGATGTTATCTGGTTACATGAAACGACGAGCAAAACAGGTAACTGAGCAATCTCTGGTGACCGGCGACTAATTACGCGATTAAAATTCAAGCGTACCGAGCGGAAGGCCGGAGATGACTCGCTGGAAACGGAGGGGGACCCTGGGGCCGGGGCAGCTTCGATAAGCACGCCGATAGGCCCTGTTCCTCGTTCATCAAACGGAGAAATTAAAATGTCTGGGACGCCCCCTTTCCGTCTCCGGTTCGCCTCGCCTCGCCTCTGCCGCTCGGCAAAAAATTTGATTAAACTTCGAATCGTTAATTGGACGGTGAAGCGCCTACAATGAGATTGGCCAGCGTAAGAATTTCGGAGACCAAGATTTACCGATTAACCCTCGAGCGAGGCCTCCGAGGATTTATTTCGCAGTCGTTCCAATTGATTCTCGATTTAAATCAATATCGAATGAACCGAGCGAGTTGTTGCGCCTTTATACTGCAACGTAGAAGTCTACGCCAGAGTTCAGCTAGAAATGGAATGATCAATGGACGCTTCGGACAGCTGTCGCCGGAGATTCGTGATTTTTATCAATCCTAATTCGATCGTGGCTCGTACTTCCTGTGAAAACGAACTCGGCCGACGAATCGTGACTGTTTAGCCACTCGATTAGCAGTGACAGTTGAACGCCGAGCGAAGGATAGGGGTGAAAGGATCCGATTAGGGTGCTGGTAGAAGGGCTGGTCGAGGGCGATATGGTGGCGATGACGCGATCGAACCAGCTGACTTCTCGGATTTCAGACTTTTCTATAGTACTTGTCATTTAATGTTAACGTTTCCGAATTCAGAGTTCGGTGTTATTCCAATAAACTTTTGTTCGAACAACATTTCGAATAAATTCTTCGAATAAAATTGTATTCGGATAACGTTTCGAATAAATTTTTCGAATAAAATTTGATTCGAATAATCTCTCGAATAAACTCTTCGAATAAAATTGTATTCGGACAACGTTCCAAATAAATTTTTCGAATAAAATTTGATTCGAATAATCTCTCGAATAAACTCTTCGAATAAAATTGTGTTCGGACAACGTTTCAAATAAATTTTTCGAATAAAATTTGATTTGAATAATCTCTCGAATAAACTCTTCGAATAAAATTGTGTTCGGACAACGTTCCAAATAAATATTTCGAATAAAATTTGATTCGAATAAATTCCTCGAATAAAATTTGATTCGAATATATCGAATAAATTCTTCGAATAAAATTGTATTCGAATAATACTTCGAATGAATTCTACGAATGAACTATGGCCAGCTCTGTCCGAACAGAATGACGTTGAAATAAATGCTCTTATCGATATCCGCGAGTGATATTGTCGCGTGATTTGATGCTCGGAGAATCGTCGGAGGGGGCAAAGACCGTGTCCAATTACAACGAGATGAAATCGACGGAGAAGCGAGCTCGCGTGATAAGATAACAATAAGAAATTAGCGAGCGATCGGGAGAAGACGCTCCCGCAAAGAGAGAAAGAGGAAAGGAGACGTGGAGAGAGGGAGCGGGAGGGAGCTCGAGGGTGAGAGGGGGAACTCGAGGAGCGGACGGGCCACCAGACGAAAAAATTCGGAATATTTATGCTCGGTATTATTAGCGTACGTTGGCGATATCTCGGTGGGCATCGCTAATTAGGCCGCGCGAACGGCGCTCGGGCCTTTCGGCAAACAGTGCTGGCTACTGTCTTTAAAGGTTCTCCACGGGTGCAATCAAGATGGTGGCGCCGGCCGCCCGGGGTGGGTCGATTCCGAAACTAATTGCCACGGCTAATTTATTCCCGCGACATGTACGCACAGAGACGCCATTCTCGGCTGCCGCGTAATCGTCGCGACGTAATCGCGGGACAAGAGAGAGTGCCATCGAAAGGGGGCAGACGTTTCGAACACGGAGAAACGGGGTGTTCACCCCGCCGCGCCGCGGCGCCGATTGCCATCGGACCTTCCGCTCCTTGTTCCAAGGACCCCGGGCCCAGGGACTCCTGCTTCCCATCGAAACCTGCATCTTCCTCCGTTCGTAATGCCAATTACATACACCGTACACAGATCTCTCACTTTCTTTTGATGAATTTTATTTCAACCATTCGGCCCTCTGTGATTTTCCACATTCCGTGAAACAAAAAGTGTTATTGTTCGCTAACATGCGTATTGTTTACCGATTAAATTTATTGTTAAGATGTCGCCAGTAATTGCAAGATCAGATACGAAAGAGAACCGATATTGCAAGATCAGTAATATCGAACCGGAAAAAAATTGAGACCGCGGTTCGATCATCATAGAACATATCTGATAAAAATGAGTCAACCAGGGTCGAATACAGCTGTAAAACATATATTAAAATATTAGGATCGTTATGGTACGGTATTCAACATTGTACAGCAACGATCGAATAGAGAGAACAATGGCCGTCGACCGGAATGAGTTGAAACGAGAAGTGGAACTATGATCTTTAACCGACGATTCGAGGAAAAAGTGAATTCATTGTTCGGCATTTTCTTCGGTTCGTTGAAATTCTGTGTCGGTGGAGAGATCGATCAGAGTCGAATCTAGGTTTTCGACGAGCGGGGCAACCGCAGGATCGATCGGTCCGTCGGTGGGAGTGACGCAAGGCCAGCGTGAACTACACTTCATTTATGCTAAATGTGAAAAAATGTTACGTAAACACAGATACTGAAATGTTTCCATTCATGGCTGCGGAGCAAAAAGAAAACGTTCTCGTTTGCAAGGCCGCCGCGTTATCTTGATAAACCGCGCCGCTGTATGTACTCGCTTTCAGGGAAATATTAACCTATAGACGTCGAAATATTGGCAGCGCTGCGCAACCACCGGTTCCTTGTCCTGTAGAACACGTATACGACATTTCATCTCGAGTTTAACGCGTACGACGAACGAAAACTGGAATACAAAATATATCGCGAACAATTTCCTGCTGCCGACGAGACGTCGATACGACGGTTATTCTCGCGAAAAAAGTCTCGGCGTTAAATCGATCGGATTGCGACGCGCGACTGTGTCAGTGGCCGAGGATTGCCGAACCTGTTCGCGAAGATCAAAGAAATTTCGCCGAGCTCTCCCGAGGTTGCGTCATCAATGCGCCCATTGAAACGGCGAGCGTCTGATTAGCTGGCATCCGAGGCAGGACCTAACGAATCCAGTTGCCAGTCGAGAAAGACAAATTGTCGACGATGGGTACACACGGAATTCCCCGATCGAAAAACCGATCGGATGTACATACATACCTGTATCATCCGTCGAATTTCTCGGACTTGTTAGGCTCCCTCGCGGCTCCCGAAGCCGTACGTTTGCTCTCGCACGGCCGCGGATTATTAGCCATTAACGAGCAACTAAATTCGTTCGATTTATCGGCGAATCGTGCCACGGGGGGAAACATTGGAGCCGTTTAATTGCCACCGGATAATTTATTCCGACTTTCTAATCGCCGGCCAATACGGAAACGCTCGTCGGCCACAACAGCTGAATCGACGAGCTTTTCAATTAGCCGAACCGCCAGCGGATCCTCGTTGACACCGTGTCAGGAACGCGCGGCAATTAATGGCGATTTATAACGGGGGATCGGGTTTAACACCTTCGCGTCGTCTTTGAACTTTCCTGGTTTCTCGAAATTAATTGAATCGCTTCGACGTTGTGATTCTTCGGAGAAATGGATCGGTGGTGAACGTGCTAGAAACGATAGCACGGGGATAGTTTCTCGGGTGCTTGGGATCATAGGCAATCAACAGACGTTTCGTTCGATACGATTTATTAAATAGACTCTTCTACTCGCTCTCGCTCTCGCTTTCGCTTTCTCTCTCTCTCTCTCTCTCTCTCTCTTTCTCTCTCGCGGCGACGATTTTACATTTATACAAAATTGGAAAACGGCACGGCGACTGCTCCGAGCCGGTGCCGAGCTTAAGCTACGCTCGTCGTACGCTCGTGCTCTCGTATTTACAGAGGACTACGCTCGCGGTAGATATTTACACGTTATGTACAAGGTGTGATTGGCACAAATTCACGAGTCGCGAGGGACGAATCAGAAGTTCGATCGGAAGCGTACCCACTTGGCACGGAATTTCCGACTCGTCGAGAAGTCCGGGAACTCCGTCGAGCACCGTTCACGGTTCTCTGTCGGCCCGCGTTCGACTTCGGACTCCTCCGTCCCAGCTAACTTTGGTCCAGTTCTTCGAGAACTCTCTCCTCGACTATTCGGCTCTTCTCCCCGTCTCCTGCTCTCCTACTTCAGCTCTTCGTCTCCGCGGACAGAGAAAAATAGTTGAACGCGATCGGAGAGCACACGTTCGGCATAGTTCGATTCTCTTCGAATGCAGCTTTCCCGGCTGGATCATCCGCAAACATTTCGGCTCGCGACGATCTAGAGATCTAGACGATCGAAGGCCCGTTGGACGATCCGAGAATTCGGCGGAAGTCGGCCCGTGGAAGCCGTGGCAACCGAGTTCGAGTCGGAACGATCGTTCCGTGTTCTCCTCGTGGCATTCGCAGACACAGCCTCGACCGATTGCTCATCGGGGAACAATTCCTCGAGAAGAATCGTCTCTTTGGAGGGGATCGGCTCGGTTCACTACCGGTCCGGCTAGGCCCGGCTAGGCCCGGCTGGTTTCATTCCCTGGACGGGTGCTGCGAGATCGGGTGATGCGACGTCAGCCCGGGATGAGACAGCATTCCGACTGGGTAGAGGCTCGCCGGTGCCAGCAGGCCCGGATGGGACCCGTACAGCGCCGTGTGATGTTGCCTGACCGCTGACATCCTCAATTTCTCGATCTCGGCTTCCTGCATGCGCTTCGCCTTCGCCCGTCGATTTTGAAACCAGATCTTCACCTGCAACAATCAGACCAGGCCGGATTTGTACTCGAAACCGGCTTCACGGTGTCACGCCACTTTGTTGCGCTTGCGGTCTCGCGGCCAACGACCGCGCTTTTTTGCAACCCGCCGCGGTCCCTTTCGATCGATCGCCGTGCTATCTTTGTCCCGGGTCTCGTCAACAGGACACGCGAAATCGCGTCTTCCGGAATGCTACCTTGTCGATCGTCAAAGGGTCCTTGGTAGTCGAGGGTATCGACACCGATGCTACATGCTCCGAATTCGTGTCTCGAGACGACTCCGAATTATCGTCGAGAACAATCTAACAAACATAAACTGTGCAGGTTTCTGATAGTTTCCGAGTTTTTTTTTTGGTAGTCGCGTTGAGGCAAGCCGTTGCGCGTAAGAGGCATTCTAAACGTTCGATAGCTACAGTAATATCTCTCTAATTGACGCTCAGATTGTCCACAAAAATGGACAATTTAGGAAGAGGAGAAACGATTATTCGATCCTTGCGATTCATTTTTATCGTTACGAATTGTCAACAACTATAAAAACGAGGCGCAAGGCGCGAATAATCGCATATTCTCTTTCCAAATTGTGTATTTTTTTTGCACATCTCAGCATCAATTAGGGAGAATTTACTGTACTTCATAACTGCTATAAAACTTTCTCGGTTCTCCGTAACTGCTTCGGTCAGAATATAATATAATATATAACAGTTTGAAACAGTTATTTCCGAAACCTCCTTAATCCCTGAATGGAACTGATTGTAGAACACAAAAATGGACAATTTAGTTACGAATTTGCCAACAACTATAAAAACGAGGCGCAAGGCTCGAATAATCGTATCTCCTCTTCCCAAATTGTCCATTTTTGTGGACAATCTGCGCGTCAGTAAGGGAGACATTACTGTATTTGTAACCGAGAACCAAGACGGAACGATCGATTCGACCGAACTGGACGATTTTTCGGGGGAACCGTTTCAACCGCGAGATTCATGGAAATATCCGAGCATCTGCCACACTGAAGTTATTCCGCCGAGTTTTTCCGCGCGAATGGGTTTCGCTGGCACCCGGGTTGTTTCACGAGAGACTTCGGACCCCTCGCAGCGCGGGTTTATTATCGGCGTTAGTTTTCAGCGGTGTCGGTGAATCTCCAGAATTACGTTTTACGATCAACGTTTCTCATTTAGCAGCGGCGTTAACCGACTGGCCGACCGGCACTCCCTTTATTCTCACCGCTTTCGCGTTCTCTCGCTCGTTCGCCCGTGCTCGCCCGCTCGTTCGGCCGCTCGCACGCGCGCGCGTGTTTCACGAGTTAAGGGTCCCCGTCCCCGCACTTAACAGATCTCGCCAGATGCGGGGTAATTAGCGCGCGTAAGCGTGCAGTATCCGTCGCTGCCGGCGAAGAAACACGGTAATTTTATTAATAGACTACAAATTGCTTGAGACCCGTCCGACAATGGTCCGCGATGATCGACCAATTATCTCCCGGTTGGCTCTCGTTGCCGGACCCGATCCTCCCGACTCCCGACGCCATTTCGTCCGCGCCGTCCGTCAACGAGGCGATTCATTTGACACCGTCATTGTCGCCAGCCGGCCACTAACTCTTGGCAAATTCGTTCCGAGTGCGCGGACGCTGACGCGCCCGCGAGACATACCTTGACAGAATCGAGCCGAGGTGCTTTTAGACCGGCAACCGAAAACTCCTTCGGAATCGCTTTCGGCGCAAACGAGCTGACGATTTAGCGGAGCGACTGGGTTCGCGCCGGTAAAATTGTACACGGGACCGTTGATCTTTCGAAGGATCGCGGGCTAACAGATCGACCAGTGTAGAATTACTCGCGTAAATAATTCGGAGCAACTTGAATCTGCGCGCAGGCAAACGGTACGAATATGTTCGAGTAGAAGCCTCTTAAGATGCACCCGTATCATTTGAAAGCTCTGTTTGCAGAGCCTTAACGTATGAAAATTCTTAGTCATTTTCCATATAGTTTACTTTTGTGGAGACTCGTCCGATAGATTTTGTCGAAGCTTTTATTTCAACCGTGAGATATTAAACATTAGATTTAGTTCTCAGTTTTGATTGTAGGTTAATTGTAGTTTTAGTTTTAATGTTTTAGTCGTCGTACATCGTTCCGATATCTTGAATCTTATTATTTATAAATGGACTCGCGTGCACTCCGTAAAATAATAACGATAAAAGTAGCAATAACTTCTACTCGCTTGGAAAAGAATTCCGTCGCTTCGACATGTTTTGACTGTCGCCGTAGAGCTGATAAAACTTGGACAAAATCGGAAGTTTATTTCACAATGCAAGAATTTGCACTCTTGCACTCTTGCATCTTGAGGATTCTAAATTTGATTTGTTCGTAACAAAAGGACTGCGGGTCTTTACGCATTTATGGCAAAAATGGATGGAGGAAACTGAAAACAGCGAAAAGATTAAAAGACGATCAGAATGTTTATTCATTTCAACTTATTACCATTATCATAAGAAGTAAGAAAATTATACTTGTCTCGTCTGTCTTGCAATTAATGCAGAATTGTTTTTATTTCGCATAAAGATCCGCAGTCCAGCGCTAGCAGCCAAAGAGCTAAGCAAGGATATTAACACTTTGCAGTCGAGCGGTGACTCTGTGGCACCACTAAAATTGTTATATAACATTCCAAGATGATGTTTATATTACCAAAGCTTAGAATTAAAGAATCGTTAAAAGTGTAACCGTTGTACGAGTCTCGCAAGGCACAATTTTATATGCACAAAATGCACTTTAACGTATAAAATGTGAATACTGTAAATCAGAGAAATTATTTTAGATTTACAATTAAAACGGCTTCGAGCGCAAAGAGTTGAAAGTCCTCGAACTCGGTTAAATTTCAAGATCGTTGAACACGAAGGTTTTCAGCGAGGAGCCTGTTCGAAACGAAGTGCCTCACCTGCGTTTCCGTGAGATGAAGGGAGGAGGAGAACTCTGCCCTCTCGGCGACGCTGAGGTATTGCCTCTCGGTGAACTTCTTCTCGAGCGCGAGCAATTGTTGCGTGGTGAAAGGCGTCCTGGGCTTCCGGTTCGGCTTGTGTTTCCTCAGGTTGCACTTGATCTTGGCGGGTTCTCCGTTCTCTGTAACCGAAAGCGGAGGGTTCACGCTCGAGGACAGCTCGTTGCCGGTTTCGCAACTGTGGTCGACCGACGCGGCGCGTTCTGGACGCGGCTCGGCTCGGCTCGGCGCGGCGCGACTCGGCGGAGCGTTGCTCTGTACGCGGCGCGCGGGTCACGGCGTGGCGAGACGAGAGAGAGAGAGAGAGAGAGAGAGAGAGAGAGAGAATGCCAGCGAAACCCAGACCGCAACGTCCTGTTTTTGCCGGGCCCGGGATCGCGGGAGCACGGCAGGACTTTTTAAGAGGTCAATTCGTAATTTAGCCGTCGGGACGGGCGCCGCAAACCGGCCTCATTACCTTTTTGCCGGTCGACCGCAAGATCCCGGCCGCGAATTGTTCCTCTAACGCTACCGCTTGTATTCATTAGCGAGGATATACGTGTGTGTCCCGGGCATGGGTGTACTAGCCCGCGCCGGTAATAGTTTCCGCGCGGCTTCTACGTGGCCACCGAATAATTTGCCTGCCGATCGCTTTTCCAAGCTCCGAGATTACGAAGACCTTTCGGTTGCATCAACGGCGATTTATCCGCCGCGGTACTCGATCGAAATCCCGAGTGCCTGTCTGGCTCCGGCTTTTTAGCGGGCTTTTCTTCTGACCAAATTGAATTACTTAAGTATACCGACGGAACGTAGACACCGGGCCCCTGAACCTTGTTCCCTCATTACGGCTCGACGCGGTCCGAGCCGTGGCCGCTTCGCCAGAGAATAAACGACGGGAGCAGAGGGAGAGAGAGAGAGAGAGAGAGAGAGAGAGAGAGAGAGAGAGAGAGAGAGAGATCCTTGGTAGAAAAATCGAAGCCACGGAGCCGGTGGATCACAAATCAATCGGCGGGACAGGGAAGCCGAGGGTGGGGTCGCAAATTGCGAACAGGGCTCGATGACAAACCAAATCATCCCCGAGGCCGGAGGAGACTCAAGAAGGCTTGTCGTACAACCAGCCGAGACAATCGAGCGCGAAACATCTGGACGAGGGCGTGCGGGGGAAGGGGAGGGGATCGCGTCGGAATATATCGGTTATATTCCCCGAGATTTGTCTCGAGACAATTGACAGATTTGTAGAACGGAGGCGAACGGCTCTAGAAACGAGAGAGATCCGAGGCCGAGACAAAAGGCCGTCGAGATCTCTCCGCCGCGCTTCTGAATTTCAAATTTTCACCGATCTACTCCGCCGGGCCTCCCTCGGGCCACCCCCGTTCTAGCGGTCGCGACGTTCTGCGAGCAGGGCTCGGAATCCGAGTCCGAGGAGGAGGAGGAGGTGGAGGAGAATCGTCTTTTGTGCGTCGATCTCCGTCTCTCTCGCTCTCTTCGAGTCTCCCAATTAGTCTCGGTATGCGAGGCTCTCTCTCTCTCTCTCTCTCTCTCTCTCTCTCTTCCTGGCTCCGGCTCCGGTTTGTTTCTACGGCCGCCAAAAACGCGACTCGATTTTAATCCGGCTTTGCGATCGAGGATGCGCATTCGAAATAATTAGCTGATCCCCGGCAGATACCGGCCGGCCGGAGATGATCCAGAGCGGAGGAGGACCCGCGTATGTAGACTGTTGCGCAACCGGCGCGACGCGGCGTTTCGCAAATGATAGCAAGCGATCCCATCGGCCGTGACCGGCCGCGTTTCCGCTCGCCTAATTGATCTGGACCGAGCAGAACGCGGCCGTCTCGACTCTCCGAAGAACGATGGCGATTATTTAAGCATAATTGATGAACCTTGATTTTCCGAGCTGCTTAACAATCGTTGCATTGCGACGAGTGGCGCGCAAAAATCATGCCACTAACGAACATGTAGCGACACTCTGGCAGTCTTGTCGATATTCTAGAACGACTGACTTCTTACGTTGATGAACATCGATTTGCTCCCGACCATTTCACGTGCCCGATCGATTGAACGGCGAGCCAGGTTCTTCTGCGTCGGTCGTCCGAAGAAATCGCCCAGCGAAACACGGTTCTCGATTAGTTCGGACCTCGTACCACCAACAACGATCGATGTTAGAAAATCCCTAGATCGAATGAGCGAGCGTCTATTAATGCGATTAGAATGCTCCGATTTTTTGCCGGTCGCGTCGAGCGAGCGGTAATTAGATGCGCGACGGTAACGCAACGGGGGGGACGCCGAAGTTTCGTGGAAGCTGCTCCAGTTGCTCGGAAAAGGATCGCGTCGAACGCATCGGTGGCCGTAGAATGCGCTGATTTATTCGTGCCGCGGCCCGATAAAATGCCAACCCCCGGTAGCGATTTTCATGCAAATTACTGAAATAATTAGCTGATCCGGCGTAGATATCGGAAACAGTGGCGATTGTGAAGGAGAAAAAGTCAGGGTGAGATCCCGGTCGTCCGATCGCCGGCCGCTCTTTGTCGCGTTGCGTAACCTTTTCATGGACCACGATTTCTAATGCGCTCTTATTAGCCGATCGGCTCGATAACGAGCGGCCCGCGCGGATTTACTCGCGTCGTTCGCAGCGAATTTATACCTCCGTGCAACGGTGATAACGACTCGCGAGCGTTCCTATCGCCGCTAACGCAAAGAAGAACGGATACACTGGATATCCGCGCGTCGATCCTCTAATGGAAACAGTTGTTCCAGCAGCGTACGCCATTTCCGAGGTCCTTTCACGGGTTTACGAAGAGCCTGTTGGATGGCTCCGGGGTATCGCAACCCTTCAGACACCCCTAACCACCGCCCCTTCTCGCGAACAGACAACGTGGAGAGCGACGCCGAGTTTCAAGGGTTGCGCAATCTGCGGGAGCACCCTCCGCGAGAGGCCATATTTCTAAATTACGCGCGTTTCCCCCGTATGACTCGTCCCGGAGAACCTTCGGGCTGCTCCGCGATTATGGTCGATTGTATTCCGCCCGCGGAGCTCCCTAAATAGCGGCGCGGTCGGCCAACAATGATCTATAAATTGATACCGGGCCGCTGAATTCACGCCGGGACGCGATATTACGCATTGTCGCCGGAAAAAGTCCGGCGAGCTTCGATCCCGCAGTTCCGTCCCGACTAAAATTTCATTCCAGCCTCGAAGATGAATGATTTACGGTCGCGGGTAATCGCGGTGAATAAATCGGGCCTGGTTAAGGATCGTAACTTTCAATTTGTAAATTCTAGCACGATGGAAAAATCGACGCGGATTCGAATCGTTTCAAAATGTCTAGCTGGTACGAACGTTCTTTTCGCGGCGGGTATGTTGAAGATTCAAATTTTCGAGAAGTTACAGCGTCGAGTTTGCTTCGCTATTGTTGGATCAATGGGAAGTAGATGCTCGAGATCGTTCCCCCACCATGCGACTCGCTTGCCACCACCATCACCAAATTGCCCATAACGATCTCGATAGAACTTTCAAGCGCGTCGATACCCAACACACAGAGCGTCTCAAATAAAAATTCGCACGAGTTTCGAAAAAAAGAGAAAAGTAGTTACCGAGATTAATTGCTTCGAGCGACAACGCTGCGAAAATAAAATTTCTCCGTTAATCTATATCTTTCGTGCCCTCTCTCTCTCTCTCTCTCTCTCTCTCTCTCTCTCTCTCTCTCTCTCTCTCTCTCCCCCCCCCTCTCTTTTTCTCCCTCTCTCTCTCTCTCCC